AAAATGAAACTGATTTGAAGGATCAGGGATTCCCAATCTTGCATCTTCTCCCAGTGAAGGAATTTATGCAGAATGACCTTCCATTCCGGAGGATAACTCCGTTGCCCTCAGGGGAATAGAGTGAGGTTCTGGTGTGAAGTGGGAGGAGGTGGTTCTGCCTATTCCTCTGTTACCAATGAGTATAAATACACCCCCCCCTCTTTCCCTTGCAGTGAGCCTCATCCATGCCTCCCTGCGTCTGCGGAGCCTTAAAAACAAGATTGAGAACAAAATCGAGAACATTGGACTCAAGCGCACACCGATGGGGCTGCTCCTAGAAGCTGTGGGCCAAGAGCAAGAGGCTGGATCCTAGACCATCAACATTGGTTTCCATTCCCTCTGGAACTACTCTCTTTCCTTCCAACAGACGCCTGCGTGCTTATTGTTCAGCTTGCCTCAATCTAGCAACCTGGCTGTGAGTTCCTGTGGAAGAGCCTCTAGCTTACATCAAACTCAGCAGAACTCCTGGCCTACAGCCGGGTAACAGCCAAGAGAGGAGATGGACTGAAATCAGCCTAACATTCCAGTTTAATGTTAAGTATTCCCCATTGGAATCAATATTTTTTTGCTTTGGAAAGGAAGGCATCACAAAGAAAGAAAACTATAATTTATAAAAAACTCCGTAGTCAATTGTTGGTTTAGAATACATAGTTGCTGGTTGAGAGGACAAAAATTGAAATCAGAACCAAATGAAATCGGTGTTGTTCTAAATTCAGCTTTTCCCCCACAAGATATGGTCCAGATATGTCGAGACTACAGTTTCCAAATGCTCCAGTTAGCTGGGAATTTCTTGAATTGCAGGAGGCTGTAGATGGCTGGATTATTATTGGTGGGCTTTCAATGTATTATTCATTATTTGCATAATGCCGCTGCTCAAAGGGCTTCAGAAAACAGTATTAGGGCTACTTTGTGTAGGAACCCCGTTATTTAGGCCAGTATCATTTATCCCTTGTAGAGCAGAAAGCTTCAGCACCACCCCCATCCACCCTCTCGTATGTTCGTAGCAGAGCTGAGGCTGAAATGGGGGGGGGGGGGAGTTTGGATGGGTATTGTCTTGCTTACTCTTGGGACTGCGTCCCCTCATCTGTAGAGGTTTTGGGCTCTTGGTATTCAGATGGAGGCAGCAAGTAAAGCAACTTGGATGAGGTTTGGCAGTGGGAGGGAGCAAGCCAATTTGGAGAAGATTTAGCTAAATCTTTGAATGAATGATGAAGGCTAATCATCTGCAAATCTTAAGAGGATTATTTTATGAATGCTTTTGAGCGAAAGGGGAGGCTAACTCCCAAGTGCTGGTAAAGGAGACTATTTGATGTGCAAAAAACCCACAAAATGGCATCAAATGGGTAATTTGTTTATTTTAATCCCTATATTAGCATCTGTTTATATTTTTGAAGCCCAGATTTGGTAACTTTAATAAGATATTGCAGACTATACATTCCACTTCAAAGGTGTGTAGCTGCCCCTACTTTTGAGTATATTTAACAAGCAAAAGAACTTTTGTCTCTTTCCAAGACCAAATTAGGAAACTTCAAAACTTTGTCTTGACTCGTGAATGGCAATAAAGTGCAATTCAATTTGTTTACTTTTAGATTAGCTTAATGTGCACAGTATAGTTAGTAGAACAGGGTGTGTAAAGCATAATCACAAATCATAATCCTAAAATCTGGCTTTGCATTATGTGCAAATGCAAAATATTTTATCTCATAACAATCTTCTCTATTCAGGTCATTTGGAATTCAGACGGTTCTTGTACAAGACTTCAGAGAAGAGACCAAACCACAGTTCTAAATAGTATACAATACATACAAAATGGGGTGTTAAAATACTGATCGTATTCTTTTGATCATGCTGTTTTGAAAAGAATGGAAAGAAGCAATAATTAAATGTGTAATTTTGCTTTAAAAGGATTTTCCATCTAAGCTTTTATGATAGTTAAGAAAGGAGTTCTTTGAATCTATACTTCCTGGAGGGTTTTTTTTGGCCTTCTGGAAAGTCCTTGTTTGCTATTAGCAGGAAATAACAAGCATTAACTTAACGTCTGATCAAACTATTTAGGCTGGTTCGTTCCAGTCTTTTCAGCCTTAAGTGATCAGTGGGGTTGGGTGGATGTTTGGGGAGCTGCATCTGGAACTGCATGTGGGCAGCTTCAATTTGCCTTTGTACTTGGTAGAATATGTGCAATACCCCAGATGTCATTTTTGTCTCTCATGACATCTGCTGCTTGTTGGGTGTTTTACTTTTCCCAAGCCAGGATCTTTGATAGCTCACTTCAGCTATCAAATCTCATTAGACTACTGGCTTTTCATGTATTTAGAACAATTCCCAAGTCCCTTGGGTGAGCTTGAAGGGAAAATGCTTCAACATATGTAAGGTATGGATCATAAACTGACCTATACAGGTTACAACAAAAAGTTTTTCTGAATTTGCAAAACAATTTGCACCATAAACTAATCACTTCAGCTGGATTCATACAATTCATTGTGATAAAATGCAGTTGACCAGTGGGTGAAACCAGTGGATACTTCTCTTGAAGTGAGTTGCTGACTTTGTTCAGCCTTTTGCTTCCCACTTTAATATGGAAGAAAATTTTAAGAGTTGTTAATCAGGTTGAGATCAGTTTGCTCAAACTGGGGCAGCTGGAATTGGAATTCTCATGATATGGTCAGTATTTAGGCAGTATGGAGTATAATCAAACCCAACTGGAGGCACCACATTGGTTATCCTAGCAGAGGACTTCTTGGTATATGGTTTGCAATTCTTGATATAGCCATTAAGTTAGAGATGTTCTGCTTAAGACATAAGTATCTATATTTGTCTTCCTGCCTGCATAGTTTTGCAGTAGGTAAGAAACTACATGGCACTATTGTCTACCAAGTTGTCATGAGGCATCATTTAAAAGGGCTTTTCCCCTCTTAAGTCATACCTGGATGAATCAATTAAGCCTCTTGCAACCATACTAGAGGATGCAAAGCATGTATGCCACTGTTTGTAGGTCTGCATACTAGGCTGGATGATTATGGGGAAAGGGAAAGCAATTAACAGATGCTTTATTCTAAGTGGGAGATTGCAGTTTGTGTTTTTCTGAAAGATGTTCTTTATCACTCACAATCCAGTCAAATTATGTAACAAGTATTGATACATAACCTCAATGGTAGATTGTGAATGTTCCCTCATTCTTTAGAGCAGGGCAGTCAAACTCAAGCAGTCCACGGGCCGGATGCATCATGCGCTGGCCATGTCCACGCCCAGTTTAGCAAAGGGGGGAAAAGTTCTGATACGTCATGTGACACCGCCCTGACAATGTGAGTTTGACACCTCCTGCTTCAGGGGCTGCATGTAGAACATGCAGGTACAAACCCAACCCCCTAATTGAAGTTGAAGGAACTAAAATGTCTCCAGCTGCAGTTTGAAGGGATCGTTGCTTTTCGTATGGGGATTTCTTGCTGGGTTACTGAAAGAGATGGAAAGTGGCTTTCCCTCCATTTGCTCAGCACTGGGAGGTGTGTCTGAGAGGTTTGATTGGAAGAAATCATGTATCTGGCGGTGAAGAGTGTCCCTCCATCAAACGGTCTGTTGAAGGATGGAGAATGCTGGTTTCACCAAATGTCTCTGTCTTGAAAGCTTGTTAATTACAGAAGTGAATGCAGCCTCCCTCTGTTTTTATACTTTTATATGTGCCAAAATCACTAGGACATCTTTCCAACTAGCAATAAAATTGGAGACAGGTTTTCAACTGTTTGTAATCATGATTGTTTAGATGAAGGTTTAAAGTGTTACTTTAACTTTTCGTGGTGTTGTGGTCTGTACGTAAATGCAGTTTTATTGCAGAAGAGTCAGCTTTGAAGATTGCTTCTCATGTGGAAATCCTCAAATTTGGATGAAAGGAGCTTTTCAGAAAAATACACAGATCTTTTTTTTTGAATCATTGCCCCAATCTGTACGGTGAACATTCAGGTCCAGATGCACATGAGGGAGACCAGGGAACAGCATGGAGTTAATTTTTTTCTCAGAAACCAAACAGCATTGTACAATTTAAGTGTACCAGTTTAAACTCTCTACATATGGGAAATAAAGTCTTGTGATTTTCATGACACCATCTCTCATGTAGTCTCGTGTTTCTTCTCTTTTTTGCTCTACAACCACTTTTGCATGTGCAGTGCCTTTCCTGAAAAAGACAGTTGGGAACAGCTGTCAAAGCAGCTGCACAAGATGTGAGCAGCTTTAATGTTTCAAAAAAGGTGCTTCATACACAGTCCTGCATGTTCCCAAGTACAAGGCAAAGGATTTGCAAAGCCCTGATGTTTAGCTAAGAGGATTACACCACTGCTGTCCATTCAATTCTCTGTGAGCGGGTAACTTTTAAGAACATGCTCTTCTTTCAGGTGTTGTGTGCATTATTGAATTCTATTATAATCAAAGTGGATTCCTCCTAGTCAATAGTAGCCCTTGATGATCCTAACCAAATTAAATGGGCAGATTCTTTTAGCCATTTTCCTTCCAGGAGGAAAACTTTTGAGGCATTTGTGGCACATTTCTGTCTGCTTTATTTTCATAGGAATTCTTCAAGGCAAGTCACGCTGAAATAGCCACCAAGTGTTCCAGTTACTAAATGAAGTTTAAAGCTCACAGATTAGATGCTGTCTAGTCCAGGGGTCAGCAACCTTAAACACTCAAAAGGGCCACAAAGGGCCTAACCAGAAGCCCCCCCCCATTCAATTCTGGAGCCAACCGGAAGTCAAGTCCCCCCACCATAGAGTCTCCTAGCGCAGCGTCCTTTTTCCTCTACCTATCCTAACCGAAAGCCCTATCAATTGTGGAGCTGACCAGAACAGGGAGCTGCGGCAGAGAGATGAAAGAGCCACATGTGGCTCCAGAGCCGCGGATTGCCGACCTCTGGTCTAGTCATTTTCCAGTAGTGTTTCCACCCTGATCCTGACATGAAGCTTTCACACAATCATGGCTTCGTTTACAATCTTTATTATAGAAACCTTCTCTCTCTTATGCACAGTGCTCAGTTTTACATTTAGATCCCCATATATAATCTATACATTAGTGTATATTAAAAGGACACACAAGACAGTGACTCCAATACGGCCCTTGTTCCTTCAGCCAGGGACAGGGACGGGGAGAAAACCGGAGCCTCTCTTGGGTTCTCTCAACCTCCCACCTTCCCTCTGCTCCAGAATGAACCTGGATTCCATTGGCACAGAGTTTAAACAAAGTGACTTTTCCTTTTATGTGCAATTGTGAGAGCAGGGGAAAACCATCACACATTTTACAATTATGATGATGATGATGATAATGGTTATTATTACAGTGAAAGGAAAAAAAGGCAGGATATTCCTTCCAAGTTTTGGAAAAATCGGGGGAGAAGGCAGAAAGCATATCAGATGAAAGGTACAGGAGAAAATAACCAGTCCAGCCTAGCAGGCAGAAAAGGGTGTGCAGCCATACTTTTAGAAAAATGAAGGGTTACACTGCCTGTTAAAAGTTGGTGCAACCCATTTCCCAGTGAGAGTTGGGTTTTGGTACAGGCAGGTATGCCCACAGCAGTTTTGGGGAAGGCCACGTGGAAGTGGCTGTCCTTTCCCATAACCCACCCCATGGATCAGACTGTGTTACACCTTCATCTGGGATTTCTTGCCCTTTCCCCCCGGTGAGAGGTAATTGCTGAACTGAATGGGTGGAGCCAATCACTGCATTCCTATAATCCAGCACTATGGTAGAGTTCCCCTGCTAGGAGAAAGGTCAGGGCCATGAAATAGGTTCATCCAATGGATCCTGCAAACATTTCCCAAACCCCCTACTGTCCTCATTCGGGGCTTTGCAAGAGCAGGATATGAGTAGGAAGGGACAATACATTGAAGGGCAAACTCTTTAAGTTTTTCACAGCGAGGGCAACAGGAGTGGTATAGATAGATCTCTCTCTTTTTTTCTCTCTCTACTTTTTACAGGACTGATGTTCATTATTAGCAAGATGACAGATCTGTGCTATATAACATTTCACAAGAAACACACATTGCACAAACCTCTCCATTTATACATTCCAGGGTCCAGGGTTAATCCCCAACACGGAGCACCATGGCAGTAACAGTGCACTGTTCCCCAAGTGAGCACAAGAGGGCGCCACCCACAGCAGGAAAAACCCTTTTATGGAGAAGTAGTACAGTAAACACAGATTTCCCCCCCACCCAACCCACAAAGTCTGAAATGGGGGGGGGGGAGGTTAACAATTGTAGGAAGAACTATGGACCACAATCCTCCCTCCCCTCATCCTGTGGTCCAGTATGACATGCAACAACCCACCCTCACACAGTGTGGAAACCTACCCTGCCAGCAGGGAGCCCCCCCCCCTCCCCACAATGGTGCATCACACCCAAAAAGAGAGGCACCAGCAAGGAAAACAAAAAGGAAAACAAAAAGACAGGAGGTCCCCTTGGGGGGAAAGGGGGAGTGGGGGGGTGGGATCAAACCAACGTCCCTGGGGTTGGGTGCTCTGTGGAATCCAAGCTGTAAGGGCCAGAAGAATCTTCCAGATAAAGCAGGTCCACAAAAGGTCTGAGCAGAGTAAAGCAGAGGAAGAAAGGAGAGAGAGAGAGAGAGAGAGAGAGAGAGAAAGAATTAGACAAAGGGGCAGAAAGGAGTCATGCAACAAGTGAAAATACTTGTCCTCCCTCCTGGTTTGTCTCCAGTTTTGGATCCGGTTTACCCTACACTAATCACCATCCCAGTTTCCTTTGGTTCATTCAATGGGTCTTTGCCATCCATGACAAAGAACCAGCCTTGCAACTGGCCAGAGGCACCAGACTTTAACTCCCATTGTCCCCAGCCAGCAAAGGGGTGGTGAGTCAGGGAAAGCTGCTGTGTAAGGATACCTGCCTCCTTCCTTTCCCTTCTCTTCCTCACAGGCAGGCCTTTCAAACAGTTTAGAATTGGCAGCCAGAGAAGCGGCCCCGTTGTTTGGAAAAAGGGGGGAGTGAAGCCAAAGAAAGAGGAGGAGAGCGGAGGGAAGAGGCGCAGGGTTGGCCTTAGGCAAGCGAGGGGGAGGGGGAGAGGGGAGGGGCTGCTGAGCTTGTCACGGCAAAGGAAAAAAACGGGCTGCATACCTGCCATAGAGTGGCTGCCCCGCATAGCTCACAGAGTGAGGCAGTCCACCTCCTATTACTGGCCCCCCGTAATATCCCACGTCGGGGTTGGAGGGTCCCGGATCACAGTAGCCTCGCAGGTGCTGATGTACAGACTGAGATGGCCCTCGTCTCTCCGGTGCCCCGCGTTGGGTAACTCCAGCGTTGCGTAAGTACCAGTCCCGGAGCCCCTCCAGGGCAAGGGCTTTGTGGAAGTTGCGCGGAGGAAGTAAGGGGGGTCCATAGCCAACCTCGCGGGACTGTGGGGGCAGCAGCGGCCCGCAGGATTTAGTGCGGGCAGCGGGTCGGGCTCGGCGCTGAAGCGGGCTTTCAGAAAAGGCTCCCCACTCCAGATGTGGGGGCCCGTCCCTGCGAGACAAATGCTCACCACCCCCACAGCTCCGGCGTTCTAGGTAATAGTCCAAGAGGAGATCGTTGTAAGGTGGGCGAGGGGTCCGGCCAGAGAGGCAAGGGGTCAGGGCCTCAGCACTCTTAAACGGAGGGGCAGTGGGCAGGAGGGGGTCTTCTGAAGGGGCCCGTTCAATCAAGGCCTCGGAGCTGTTGCTTCGACGGGTCCGAGCAGCAAAGAGGGAAGCTCTGTCGGCACTGGTGTCCCGGCTGGGAGGGCCAAGCTGGGAATCGTGGCTGCCTGACCACTGGCGGGAGTGGAGAGATGGGGCCTCTAACCTGGGACGAAGTAGAGGATAAATTATTGCTTTTAATTTTATGCTAGATAGCTTTGAAATAAGAAATACAATTATATGCATGATTGGGAGAAGGGGAGTAAGAATCTCTCGCACATCCTAAATATCCATCTAGAGCAGGGGGTCCCCAATCTTGGCAACTTTAAGACTTGTGGACTTCAACTCCCAGCTTTGCTGGCTGAGGAATTCTGGGAGTTAAAAGTCCACAAGTCTTAAAGTTGCCAAGGTTGGAGACCCCTGCTCTATAGAGAAGTTGTTTTACCTGTTGCATCTCGAGGTGCCTATTAGCTTTGTTTCCTTTTCAGTCCACTTGTTTTGGTCAGGGGGTGGACTTGGTTAGATAACTGCTGTTTAAGTCTGCATCCAGCATGACTGGGGCAATTCAAGATTCCTCACCCTCCCCCCAAAAGAAAAGGATGGTAAGTTCTCAATTCCCTGCATGAATTACCATTACAGTGTTACTACTAGGGCCATATCAAGTCTTCTTCCAAATTTGAGGCATTGCCCAGAGTAGGAAGTTGAAGCAGAAACATTCCACTTTGGGGGAGTAATACTGAAGTGTTCCCTCCCATGTGCGTGCCTTAAAAAGATTACAAGGATAGCAAAAGTTTGGATGACACAAACTAGAGTAAAGCAGTTAGAGGCACTGCTGTCTTCCTGATTAGTTTGCAGGATCTTTGAAAACCGATCTTGACCTTTTCTTGCTGCCCGCAGCCGATTCCCTCAAATATCCCTTTGGATTCCTTGTCCAACTCACCCCTGAATTTAAAGCCTCAGTTAAGTGCAGTTTGACACAAAGTATAGCAACAATTTACTGTGCTTCAAATTGCTAGTTACTGCATAGAGAAAAAAATAGTAAAACGCTGCCAGTAGGCCTGCCGTCTACAAGACAGGAGAAAAGGAGAGAAGGGAGGGGATTTAGGCTACCTTAACTGGTGATTTCCACTGCACGCATTTCTTGCCAATACTGGAGTTGCTGGGACGCTCCGGCCCTCAAAACTGGACATGCTTCTGGGGAGGGTGCGATTGGGGCTGTGTAAACAGACAAGGATCCTTTTTTAAACAAGTGGGTTCGGCTCCTCGTGTTTCAAGAGCCACGTTGCACGCTCACATGTGGACAAGCACTTAGACTAAAAGGATGATTCCAAGTTTCCCCCCCCCCCAAAAAAATTGTGCTCCGACAGCCTGAGTCACCAAGGCAAGCAGCTCAGCTTGGTTGGCAGAAGAAGCTTAAAAGCTGCCCTCTAAGCTGCTTTTCCCCCCCCCCCCTGTTTGTTTTCCTGGGAAGGAAGAGTTCAATCCCATTTATCTTCACAAAACAAGCTCTAGGGAGAGATGAAAAGATATCAGCTGAATGGGATTTTCTACTCCTTCCCTTATTGTCTGTAGTTACCAATTTCCACTCTAGTTCCTAACCATAAGTGAAATCTTGACAAAGGGCATACAACCTTGGCCACTTTAATAAGCCTTCTGGACTTCAACTCCCAGAATTCCCCAGCATGACTGGCTGGGGAATTCTGGGAGTTGAAGTCCGCAAGGCTTAAAATGGCCAAGATTGGACGCACCTAATCTGGACACAATGGGCCAAGCTTGCACAGCCAATTGAACAAGCCAGAAAACTCCCAGGATGGTATTATTTTAACAATCCTTCCATGTAGATGATTTCCAAATTTTTCTGTATGGTTAAAGAAAAAAGGGTGAGGGGAAACAAAAAGAACTCATCCTTTCAAAAGAGACCACAGGCCCTCAGAATCTAGTCTATTTCACTTCTTTTCTCCACTACCTGCAAAGCTGGGCAGGAATTATAAGCAAAATATTAAAATAATTACATCCCACAATTCCATCAGCTCATTTTTGTTGCGTGTGTAAAATCAGGCTTCTAAGCCCACACAAAACTCTTATCCATGCTGGGTTGCTTTTCCCCCATTTGCTCAGACCAGCCGTCCGGCATCTTTGGCCAACCTGGTTGGGCTGGCAACAGAGTTCCTGCGGTCCTTGGCCTCACTGTACACATCCGGCTGCAAAATTCGCCAGCCTGGTCGGCGGTCAGGACTGCTGGAGATGGCACGTAGGTGATCTCGGGCCTTGGGAGGTGAGGATCTGTCTGGGAAAGATCCCGGATGGTTGGAGACTTTGGAAGGATGGAAGCTGCGAGGGTCATCTGAGGACAGAAGACAGTACATCTGCACATCTTGCCAAAATAGAACCACCCCCACAATTAAAAAAAAACCCAATGGTCTCAAAACTTTAGATTTTTTTCTAAACAACTATCACCTGATGAAACTGCTTCTAGACATAAACATGGTTATAAAACTCACATATACAAAACTAAATGATGGGAGAAGCTCCTAGGCCGCTAGTTTTTTTATATCCTGTGCTTTTATATCCTGTGCTTTGAAGAAGATGTTGGATAATTCTTGTCTTCTATGCATAAGCCATCATGAAACTCAAGAATCATGGTTCCAAATGATAGTTAAATTAACTCCCAAATTTTGTTTTGAATACTTATTATAATATTCATATAAAATAATTAACACCATAAAAATAAGCCTTCCTTTGCATCCAAAATTCCAGAAACATTATTGATTAAAAGCTCTATGAACTAACTATTTTCACACTTCTCTTTTAATAAAACCCTCCCGATCTCTAGGGAGTCAAGTAAAGGCTCAAAAATATTGTCTCCTGCTGTCCACAATTTCATGTTTATAATACCCAAAACCAAACTTTTAACATTTAAAACCAGTCCCTTGAACTAGATTCAGAAGACCATTGGCAACACTGTGCCTGCAATAATGCTACTGTATAGGATTACAGTACTTCTCAGCTGTTAGCAGGAGGGTTGCTACATTTTGTTCTAATAGTAGCTATCCAGGTGATCTTTAAAGATAGCTCCATATGCAACACATTGCAGTAATCCATCCTAAGAGTGCTAAGGCATGAGTAACACTCTCTAAATTCTCCCTTCCAAGCGGAGACATAACTATAAGGCAAAATATACTAGTCTTATATTCTCTAAAAGCATGCATTAAATGAGACAACCCCATACAAACATGGACAGCCCATGTGGTTATGTATCAGTCCAATGGTTGGTAAAGAGTCATTTTCTGCACCTATATAAGAGCATCTTTATCTCATCGTTCAGTATCCCTCAAGAATTAGAGGACAAGGCTACCTAGGAAATTTTGACTATTCAGACCATTTTATTTGTGAGAATTGTTGTTTGTGTCTGCTTATCTCAGACCATCAAGCACTCTTCTTTGATCTGAGAATGACCACTAGGCCACGCTTACCATTTTCATGGCTGGCTGATTCAGAGAGGGAGCTGCTCTCCGAGTGAAATGCCTTTTCTTAAAGAGAGAGAACAAAAAAAAAGAAATGGATGAGAAAGTGGGAAGATAAAATAGTGCTTCTCAACTCTGGCAACGTTTAAGATGTGTGGACTTCACTCCCCCATCTAGCGGGGGAAATTCTGGCAGGTGAAGTCCACGCATCTTAAACGTTGCCAAAGTTGGGACCCTTTGATGACATATATCAGCTAAACGGTGGTGGGTCATTCAACGTGATTTACATACGCTGCTGTTGCTGACGATAAAACCTTTCCCAACACAAGAGGAATCATCACTGCTTAGGCAAGTGTCTTTGTATTTCAAAAAGGAAAGACAATGTATGATGCTTCCACCAAACACTCCATGCCCCTCCAAATTGTTCTCTGTGTGGCAACTAGATTTTTAAAAGACTTTCGATTTGTTGAATGGGTTAGGTTGTGTTTTTTTTTAACCGATTTGATGTCTATCCCATCTTTCAGTCAGGAGTTCAACATGGCACACATAGTACTTCCTCTTCTTTTTTTTTTTTCCTAAACAACACTCCTTTCAGACAGGCTGCAGAGCAAGAGAGTGAATGGCTTAATATCACCCGGTGAGATTCTGGGCCTGAGGAGGAACTAAATGCCAGGTCTCCATACTCTAATTCAATACCTTCACCACTATAATAATGTGTTTATCTTCAAAGTCTTCAAAAAAAAAATAATAATAATCCCTAAATGTTTTGGAACAGTACTCCATACTGGCTGTCAATCTGAAGGAATTTCAGCATGGAGCAAGGGAACAGAGTCCCATCTTCCTCTAGCTCCATCACATGAAACTTCCCACAAACTCCTCTTTGCAGCCTGTTCCATCCCCCTCACACTTTCCCCCACAGACTCTGAATCCCTCTGCAGCAACCTGTACCCGTTGAGCCACATAATGGCCGGCCTTTCTAACGAAGAATCTAGGGGAAGGAGAAGAATATTTGGGATGTTTAGAGAATGAGAAGTGAGGGGCCAAAGAAGGGATTAAAAGGTCCCACGGTTAAAACAGTGCCGTCTTACGTGGCCTGAGAGACAGGCCTTCTCAGGGGCTGCCTCTGTTCTGGGGAACAGCATCCCCATCAAATCCTCTCAGCCCCAACCCTGCTGCGCTTTTTAAAAAAAAGCCACAAGTCCTGTTTCTTTCAGCAGGGTGAATAGGAGGGGCCTGCTTTTGAGACTGACCAATGCTTTTTTTTGTTTTTTGTAGTTGGTTATCACCCTGATTCCTTTTTCCTTTCTGCTTGTGTTTTTAAACCATGTCTATGACACCCTGGTATGTTGCTCAGCATGTCTGTGGCCAATGAAGCAGCTGAGAAATCGGCTAGCAATCGGCATAACTTACCGGGGGCAGCTCTCTGGAGGGGTCCTTTGCCCAGCCGCACCCGGCATTCTGCTACCTGCACCTCCAGCTCCCGCAGACGCTGGGCAGCATCCGCCTGAACCTGCCGCCGGCGGCGGCGCTGATCAACTGTTAAGTCAGGGGCAACTGCTAGCCGTCGGGCAGCCTCAGCCACTTGCTGCTGCAGCGCCAGCTCCTGACTCAGCTCCTCCAGCGAAGGGTTTTCCTAAAGTATAACATTTATACACTTACACATAGCATACATATAATGTTATATGTATAAGATTTTACCATAACACCTATTATGTTAACATACAAACTAGGAACATATAATATTATGTTATGCTAACACATATTATAATAACACATATTTATATGTTTATGTTTTGGGGTTTTAACTGAACACCGCCCAGAGTGAGCGAGATGGTCAGTCCCCAAATTTGGTAGTAGCAATAGCACTTAGACTTATATACCACTTTACACTGCTTTACAGCCGACTCCAAGCTGTTTATACAGTCAGCATATTGGCCCCAACAATCTGGGTCCTCATTTTACCCACCTTGGAAGGATGGAAGGATGAGTCCACCTTATATATAAAATAAATAGAAAGGTAGGGATGTGGCATCAGGACTGTCCCCAAAGTCCAACGTGCAATAGAGATGCATGGGTCCCCTCATTCTCCTATGCATAAGATTGACCGCTCACCTCATTCTTCAAGACAGGGGCAATTCGGGATGCCACTATTGTTCTCCTCCTCACTGGCCACAGCCTTTCTCCGGGTTCCAGAGGATATTCTGGGGGCAATTTTCCTGTCAATTCCTGACATTGAGAGGAGAAACAACCAACATGAAATAGGTATGAGATCTAGAAATGAAACGAAGGAACTCACTGGAACCTGATATTAGATTTTTGCCCAAGGAGACAAGCTTCATACCATTTATATGAAACTCTTCCACTTTGCAGCTAAAACACCTTGGCCCGAGGAAGTCATTTTGGGCCCATTAGGAAACCAATGGCTCATACACACTTGCCTTCCTGACCCCGATGGCTTTAAATCATGCTGATCCATTCTTAACATCCAGCCAACCTATCCAGTGAGGATGAGCACTGGCCAAACAGCCTTAGTAGTCCATGATATCTGGAAAGCACTAGGTGGGCTATTGCTATTCCAAGCAGAAAGCGGGAAAAGGCCGTATGGGCTGACCTTACCCCACTTCCTGAGGCGGCATCTGCTTATGTTATTACATCTTGAAGAAACTCAAGCCAACCTTTTCCTTTCCCTTTCTTGTGTTTCCTTTTCCTTTCTTCTTGTGCTTCTGCAAAAGAGTGACTTCCAAGCCCTCAATTAGCTTAAGACTTTCAGGTGCCCATTCCTTGTTTCTTTTTGTGAGCTCATGACCTGATTAAAACTAAAACTCTCAAAGAGTTTGAACCCTGACACAGAGCAGAAAACGTATAAATTCAGGGTTGGATGCATACCTCCGCCCAACCCCACTTAGTGCTTTTCAGATGTCCTGGACTACAAAGCCTGTTTGGCCAGCACTCAGTGACAGTGGTGGGGATGATGGTCTAACAAACAGGATAAACCCCAGGTTGGGAAAGTCTAGCTTCTCAAAGCGGTAGATCCACTGCCTCAGTCCCTCCCATTGGCTTCTTATCCTGTCACGGTTACGCACCGCTTCCTGCAGGCAAACTCGCCGCAGCTCCTTCAGGCGCAGGCTGAGCACCTGCTGGAGAGACTTCTGCTTTTCCAAGAGTTCTTGGACCCGCTCTAGCCGAATTCGAGGACAGAGCTCTCGCTGCAGAGCTTCTGCAGAAGCAAAGGCAGAGCAGAAAAACAAGGGATGAGGCTTCGGATTCACTGTCGGTCACTGAAATGACGCTGAACAGGTGGTGGAGGGAAGGGAGTTACCTGAAGAGCTGTAGCTGGATGAATTTATCAGCTGCCCCTTCACTTCCATGTCTTCTGGGGAAAGTTCACCTTGCCTCTTGCCTCCAAGGGAAATCACTTGGCTCTGAGACCCATCAGGAATTCCTAGATGGAGGACAGCAGACGGTTACTGCCAAAGGAAGAGAAAGGAGGGATATAAAGGGGACGTGCTTCTGCTGGCCCAGGCAAGGTGAGTCATCAGCAGACAGGCAGGGACCGGAGTGGTATTTTGTGCCCAGAAGAGCTCATGTTTGAGGAAGAAAGAAGCTGCAGAGATCAATTTACTCACAAATAAAAACAAACATCATGGAAGATGCCTGTTTCTTTGGAAAGGTTTTTTTTTTTTTTTAAAGAGTACTTGATATCATTCAGACATGTTGGACTTTACCTCCCATAGCCAGCATGGAAAACTGGAGGATGTGAGGCTAGGGAAGAATTGCTAGCCAAAGATGACTTGCAGTTTCTATAGTCTGACCCAAGACCATTGACTGCTGAGTGAATGGTGGAAAACTGCGACGCCAAATCTTATGTCCTCCTGCCTCGGAGCCTATTTAATTTTCCAAGGCATAGCGTCAACGCTGGAATCATATCACTCTAATTTTGGGGGGGGGTAACACATGTCCCTCAGCAACAAAATTTGGCCAACTGAGATTCCTGTTAATGGTAGCATTCAACTACTCGCAACAGGTCACTCCAAATTCTGGAACTCAGCGCTTGGAGAAGGACCCAACCATTGACAACCAACCTTTGTGGTCTGTGCAGCAACTGCACCCAGGAGAAGATTCTGTGGAAGCTTTACCCAACCTAGGAATTCTGGGAGTTGTAGGTCTAAGGCATCTGGAGAATGTTTATTACGAGAAAGACTGCACTGTAGGCAGCATTTTAACTAGCTGTAATTGGCACTTGTGTTATGCCTATAATTGTAGAGAGATGGAGGAATGCATCTTTCTTTGTGGTGGGTGTCTTTTTCAATTTGGCTCCTTCCAGAGATACTGACTACTGTTCCCAACAGTCCCCCACACAAAAACAAGTAGGATGGGATTCTACAAAATGTTTGAAATCACCCAAATGTTAAACACCTTTGAGCAGGGGTCTCAAACACAATTTACCTGGGGGCCGCTGGAGGCAGAGTCTGGGTGAGGCTGGGCCGCATAATATTATACTTTATATTATACTTTATATTTATATTATACACTAATATTATACTTTCATATCATGGTGGGGGCCACAGGATATCGTCCTGCAGGCCGCAATTGGCCCGTGGGCCATGAGAATGAGACCTCTGCCTTAGAGGTAATCCTCAATTTACAACCATTCATTTGGCAAGCGTTGAAAGGTACAATGGCATTGAAACAAATTACTCTTAACCAGTCTTCCTCACACTTACAACTGTCACAGCATTTTGAGGATATCAAAATTCAGGCCCTGGAGGTCGCCCTTTGCTTGGCCTCTGACAAGGAAGCTGGATTCGTTTCCTGTGGTTCGTTTAATAACCGCAGTGGTTTGCTTAATGCCCACGGCAAAAAAGAGGCCGTAAAATTGGTCACAACTCACTTAACAACCACTTTGTTTAGCAATGGACTTCCTGGGGGCCCTTTTGGTCATAAGTCGAGGATTACATGTGATTTACCCCAGAAATCATATATGCAGGGAGCAAGGAGTTGCTGTTTTTAGATACGGTATTGTGAAAACATTCGTGCTTTTTCCGGCAAGGAGAAGAAAGAGCACGAGAGATTTCCTACTTCAAATGCCAACATACCAAAACCGGTTTTATACTTTAAGCAGGAGGAAGCTAGAAGCAAAGGAAAAAAAAAGGTGTCCACTGATCTCACGGTCTCTTACCTGCCCCAACCCCCCAGCATCCAGAGCTCACAGGCATTGTGCTTCACGTTATCCATCTTTTAATTCCCTTCCCCTCAGCCAGGGATACTCTCAGAAGCAAGATTTGCCAACCTCAAGTCCTCCTGGCATTGTGCTCTCCATTTAAATAGACATTTGCATGTATTATATTCTTTGATATTGTTATGTTGATGAGTTCTCTTGATGGAGTTCTCTTCGAGCCAAAAGAGAACTTTTGCACAAGCCACTGGGATTTGCACTTTTTCCCAGCCCAGGGCAGCCCCCAACGGGAGAAAATCCTGCGGGCTTTCCTCCTCCTCCTCCTTCACTACCAACTCAACCAACAAACAAGCCCGGTGGGAAGTCAGGGGGCAGTGAGACAGCTGGTCCCTGCCTTACGCAATCTCTGTGCTGGGGCCAAAGGCCGCAACTGCTTTTCAGTGAGACCCGATCCCGGCCAAGCCAGCTGGGAGTCCAGGGCAAGAACAGGGCCAAGAAACCACCCAAGTGACATAACTAATTCGAGTCACAGGCCAAGAACACCTGTTGCCATAAAGCTCACCAAGACTAACATCCAGATCAGGTGGGCTTGCTTGGGAAGTGTTTGTCTAATACAGCCTGGCCCCACCTCTGTCATCTTTTTTTTTTTACTGTGTTTTTTTTTTAAACTATGGGTAACAGATAATTTGAATATAAGTACAAATTTATGAGACTATAAAGAACAGGATATACAGGTAAAGAACCAAATATAAGCAGTGAAACATGGGTGGATAGCCAACGAATCTGAAATCACCACATTCTAATACATTATTACAGCATATAATATTATAAGTCATTTCATATCCATTTTCCAATCAAAACATGTCCCAATAACTTTAAACTAAAGGTATTTGGTCAACACTATTCAAATCATTATAGAAAGAGAGAGAGAGAGAGAGAGAGAAACTGTATGTGATCAACAATTGGAATTGCTGTCACTAAGCAAAGTTGTGTGATGTTACCTGACTGTGTTGCTTAGCATTGACAATTCTGGCAGTCCCAGTTACCATTGTTAAATGAGGACTGTGTGGGTTGTTAAACAAGGACCTCATATCATTACAACTTCTGACTTCCTGCTGGCTTCCCCATTGTGTTTGCTTGTGGGATGATGTTAGCGCACACTGGAAATCCCAATCACGTGACCAGAGTTTGCTGCAATATTGTAACTGTGGGAACACTGTGATAGCTGGACCTATGTGAACCCATCATAAGTACCATTTGTTCAGCGCCACCATATCTTTGAACAGTCGCTGATTGAATGGCCATAAACCAAGAACGATCTGTAGATAATATAATGTCAAGTTAAAATGCAAATCTGAAAACCTTAATCCTGAATGTGGCACAATTCTACATACATCACTGTAGTCTAGAAATGGTTTTCAAATAGAATTGAACTCTACATCAGATCTAGTTTTTTAAATATGAAGTTATTTTAGACATTGAGGCATATTCCCAAACTTTGGCTAACCATTCTTCCAAAGAGGGGAATCAAACATCCTTACTAATAAAAAGCATACAGAATGCATTAACCTATACAATGCCAATTCAGAATATTTTGGAGAAATATAGGGCTGAATGAAATTTAATAAAACTACCTTGGAATTCAGTGGGATTACAACTTTCAGGATTTGTTCCATTTTATATTAAATAATTTTCCAGTATGGCTGAGCTTTGCAACATTGCCACCACACAAGGAAAAATGATCCGACCATTATATTTCCATCATTTTTTCAGAAAAGAAATAACTCATTTTAGCAATTAAGACTGGAACGATGTATCAACAGTAAAACATTTTGTACCAGTTCTGTGTATGATACGCAAGGTAAAATTAATGTTCTTTTCCCATTACTCACTGTTATATATCTACAATTGTGTTCTAATTCTGTAGCATTTAATTGTAGTCGTTGATATGTTTGGGTTCTGAATCTTAGTTCACAAGAAAGCTATAAATTGAACCTAACAAATGTTCAATATTATGCATTGTAACATTTTCAAATTCAACAAACGTTCTCAGTGTTCCTTCTCCTTTCTATAATTCTTTTATTGTTGTGCTGCTTATTTGAAAATACTGAAACCAATTAGAAGTAGAATGGGCCATTTTTCAGGCTATGTTTTTGCCCTTATATCTATCTCATCATTAAAGTTCCAGCACTCCATGTTGCTCATGTGAGCTCCACCACAACTTCCATTACCCACTGCAAGCACAACCTACAATTGCTATGGAGTGTGGGAGCTATAATTCAGAGCCCCTAGAGGTGCCAAGCTTAAGAAAGCTGCCTGTAGATGCTCTAGCACTTAAAAACAAGGTGTAGCAAATACAAATCCATTTAGCCATCATTCCTTGCAGACAAGCGTAAACATACATTCGCTATTTCTACAGGTTAGTGAACAGATCGTCCTACCGTATTTCCACAAAACAATATGGGGGCCAAAAGGGAAAGGGGGAAGCAGCCTTCCCACTGATATTTTCTCCTTTCCAAGGCTCTTGAGATTAGCACATTACCCCTCCCAGTAATTCCTTTTCCATGACTCTTTAGTGTCAACACCTTCCTTCTTACCCCTCCCAGTGATTGTTCTCAGGGAGTGGATAAGGAAGGTGACTATTGGGAGTTAGTGCTGTTCTATTAAATATTGCTCCATTTCTATTAAGAAAGAAAGAAAACGATAATAGTGAAACCTAGAAAAATCAATCAGACATCTGACAGCCATGAGCAGGAACTATCTGGGTATAATGGAGCTTAAAGATCAGCTCTCATGGCTAAGTTAATATATGGCTCTGCATTGCATGTTGTTTTGCTTTGGCTTACTAAATAAGCCATGACTGTCTAGGTTTGGATCTCCTATTCCAAAATCAAGTAAACCATATTATGGCTTAATGCGATGCCTGAATTCAGCTTACTTTGTGTGATCTAGGCATATGGAATTTAGTCAACCAGACATGGGTTACCACTCCCTCCCTGCCAGCAATTCAGTCCTGACTAGATCAAGGTTGACTCAGCCTTCTATCCTTCAGGGGTCGGGAAAATGAGGACCCGGATTGTTGGGGGAAATAGGCGGACTCTGTAAACCGCTTAAAGAGGGCTGTAAAAGCACTGTGAAGCGGCATACAAGTCTAAGCGTTATTTCTATTCTTCCCATTTTGCATACCGAGCAGGGGTGGAGAGAACGAAGACAAGCAATGTGGGATCCGAATACAGCCCTGCATTAAGCCACAGTTATATATCTGAACGCTGCATGAAACCAGTTTACCGA